CGGGGTTGTTTATTTTGACGGTCAAGATCAATGTCCAGTATTTCATGTACAGTAACCAATAGATGTATTCTAAAGCTGCATTGTCTGTTAAATCAAGGTTCCACTAAAATATTTTAGTAAATTGTCAAGGTATTATATATCTTCACATAAAAAGTCCTCTTAGAGGGCTTAACTCAGATAATTGTGTGGCAGGGTTCAATTTCGATTGATAAATGAATATTAGCAGTAAGATTAGATTCACAATCCTTAAAAATTTGGTACCAATTTAAAAAGTTTCAACCAGTAAACCTACAAATATACAATTTTATTTGATTCACAGATTGTCATGATAAATTTAATTTTGGCTAATCATAGAAAATATTGGATCACAAAAGAGATCATTTTGAATTGCAAACTGTCATGCGATACCACTTAAATTGAACACTATCATGCAGAAATCTAGTTCGCAAGAAAAAAACATGTTTAAACCAACAATCACAGTATTCAAATATTTTTAACATGACTAGCAGAAACAGTATAAATCTTTTACAGTAGATCAGCCTGTAGAAATTCCTGAAAATTTTCCCTTCAAGTCTGAATTTAGATCATTGTTTTTATTTGAATTACAAGATTTCTAATGAGTTATTTAAGTAACCTTAGATCTCAATACATCTCTTTAAAGTTAAAATGAGCCAGTTTAAAATCTAAACATAATCGTTTCTATCTACAGGTACCATTTCTACCTTCCAGTAGTCTGAAATTCAAGCTGCAGGAGTTATAAATAGCACAGTGATTTGGCAACCAATTTAGAGAGTTGTATAAGTCAAACTGACAGTTAGAAAAGTAGAAATAAGCAAACAGCATACTCCCACTACAGACTACTGTTTTAAAGATGGTGGAGTTAAAAAAAGACATAATATTTAAAATTGGTAAGCACAAAGGTGACTGCTGTGAGCATTAAATTTAAATAGGCCTACAGTTGGACATTTGAATAGTGTCCACATTTGAACTTCAAAAGGGAAAAGAATGTCCATAATATTACAACAAGAATATTTGCCTTCTTTACAAGCCTAAACAACTAACACTCTGAGAGTGTATTTCATTGGTCACATATATCCCCATATGGCCTTTAAAACTGTAAAATCCTGCGAAACCATTTTTAGATTGAATTCTTCTAATTAGTTCTTCCTATCATTGCAGGTAGTCTGAAAAACTGATTTTGATGACTAGTGGCAATGGAGAGGATTAAATACAAATGAACCCTTCAAGATCTGGAACCTGTCAATTATTTTGGCATCATTTCCTCCACCTCTCTCCCTCCCAAAAACACATGTATTCTTCACTTGAGAAGCAGCCTAGCACTAGATACCTTTGTCTTTCGAAAGAAAATTTGGATAATATGCTAGAATCTTAACACATTGCATTTTAAACTTAATAATTACCTTTTGCATCAACTCAAAATTGGCACATTTCTCTGTGACCCACTCTGAGGCAACTAGCCAACAAAAGCATCGGGGCATGCAGGGTATTTTTTTCTAAAGAGTTAATGAGCTTATATGATTTCAAAACTTTATTTAATAACATTGTCTATCTTTTGGATAGACAGAAACAATGAGTGAATGAGAAGAATCTTTAAAGTGAACATAAAGTTAGAAATGAAGTGAAACCTAGTTAAGATTAAGTAGGTACTTCACTTGTGTAATAATTTGCCACTAGAAAGAAAAATTCTCCTAGTTTTTACCATATTAATAATTGTGTGTCAATGATAAATGAGAACTACATCTAACAAGTTTAGAATAAATATAATATATACATGTTGGCACAGTTAACATAAATAATATTCATTTTGAAAACACAAAGCTAACAGCAACTGATAATGGTTTTTTGTTTTGTTGGTTTGGTTTAGAACTCTGGATACCAACCGGTGGTATTAGCACCCCAATAGTCAACAAATTACATCTATATTTTGAAACACTTTATATGCCAATTCCAGTTCTATAGACAGTCAATTTGATGTTGATATTAAAGGCTTATCACTGATTATAGTCTGTTTCTGGCTTTATGGATATCATTTTAAAGTGGTCAGCACGTTTCAAAATGTGTTAACGTCAAAAACCACTAACGTTTGTTGGTAATGCCTTCCTCTATGGCAGTGTAATAGCAAGTTGTGATTGTCTGTAGCTGTAGGGTTCCTTAAAGTGATTGTAAAGAGGTTTTCTAAAATTTTAATGTGTATAGAGGACAATGATAGCATCAATTTATACTTTTTCAGTTTTCAATCAGATGTCTCTTATTCCTGCAATTCCACTAAAACAAAGTGTTTGATGACGTCACTTATGGCGAAGAGCTTTAAGTAAAAAGGAAATTTTGTGATTACTGACATCGTCAAACATAAAATTTTAGTGAGTTGCAGGAACCACAGATGTTTGATTGAAAACTAGAAAAGTACAAATTGATGCTATCAGTGTCTTTGATACAAATATAAATTTTAGAAAACATCTTTACAATCCCTTTAATATTCCAACACAATTTGTAACATTTTTAATAAAATACAAAAGAACAGCAAAAAACTTTTTTTTCAAGTTTTAATAAAAAATGAACAGTCACTTCAGATCAAGAGTCAAACATGAAGCAGGAAACACTTTAAAAACTTGGTACAAATAAATCAATGAAAGAGAACTAGAGACAGAGAGTGAAATAAACAATTTAGGAGTAATTTATTGATCTAAATTAGTGAAATAGTAGTTAGATAGTTTAATAACACTACCCCTGGAGGTATTAGATACTGTCATGATTTCACAAATCTCACCACTAATCAATAATACATTCAGTTAATTCTAGTTCACTAGAAAATTTTCCTGGATCACTCTCAATTTTAGAATATTAATGACAGACAAACTTCTGAATACCAACTGAATAGAAAAACAAATTGTAGGTTGCCATCCTGTGTTGCAATAGTCAGAAAGATTGCTTTGGTTATATGAATGAAACATGACCTGTTCTGACTATCTCTTTAGCTTTGATCATCTTTGTCTTTATGCTGAAACAGACTACTATTCTAAAATTGAGATATTAATTGAGAGTAACTATTAATTATTGCCATTTACTTGTCTTGTTGATGCTTTTGTATTGTCCCCAGGTGTTTTTCTTTGAAACTCTGCTTCCCAAGATCAGATTGTTCTTAAAATCCTTTTCTACATGAATGAAGTAAACCAACCAACAGAATTCCAAGTATATGTGTCGTGTGTTTGCTCACTTCAACATTCTGATAACTCTTCAGCAGGCCGCTAAAGATAAAGTTAGTGCTGATTTACATAGTAAGATTATAAAATTCCTATAACCTTCCATCAAAAGATTGGTCTCCCAGCACATGGCTTTAGATAGAAAAGATTGGCCTTCAGAAGATGTTAGTACCATTGGGTTGAGACCATAGAAAATCAGTTCTGAGAATTACATGATTATTTGGCCAGAAACATAACAAGGTACTTATAAATAAACAAATTCTCAGAGTGGCCTTCCCACCGCTTACCAATCATTGGTTAGGTCATGAGGTCAGCTATTAATGACCTTTATAAACTAAGATGAAAAGAGATAAATTATGTGAATGGGGTATAGTATTTCTTATTATCCTCATTCTCCAGTGTTTTGTAAGTTTTGTTTCACCATCCCCTAGACAAGTAATCACAATAAACATCTTTCTACTTTACTATAAATCAGAAGCAATCTTGAAATGGCCTAAAATTCTGATTCAAATCTTTATCTTAAAGTATGACAGTCATGAAATTTCAATGCATGAAAAATGTTTTAAAAGATAGTGGACCACAGCCATATACGCCAACAACGGCATGCGGATGGTAAATATTCAAGATTTTGGGGCAAGGGCAATAACTCTGCTCCTAACGGCCGAAAATAGCTCAAATTTGAACTTGATCTTCGTTATATGAATATCTATACACATACAGAATTTCATTTGATTCCATCAAAAAATCTAGCGTTTACAAGCAAATGTTGACCGACGGACCGACAATATATGTCCACATAGAGAGATGTGGGGTATAAAAAACAATATTAAACATCTGGTGATTCTTTTAAAGCTTGATTGATTCAGTAAACCAAGTCATTTCCTGGATTTTTCATACTCTGGGTCTGAAGATTTGTTCCCCCCAAAATACATAAATGACCAAATTATAGTCAATACTTCTAATTAAAGCCAAAATTTGTATCAGAAAATTTTCCTGAAGAGTAAATTCTCTGTAAGGGATTCTCACTTAATAAGACAATAATAAAGCTTTAATGTTTTCATCCAGAGAACACATTATCAGATTACTTTTAGGCTTATAGAAAACAGCACCCAGACACTGAATAATAATACACAATACACATGCTTTTTCAAAGAAATGTTATTGCCTTAGGATCAATGCTTATTCGATTTTTTCAAGACCAGCAAAAAGGGCAATGTTAAATTCAATTATTTCAAATATCATAGGCCAAGTTATTCCCTTCAGGTATAGTGCTTTGATTGTGGAATGCAGTTTATTACAGAAAATTGTACTAATAGAAGATCTTACATAAAACTGGAGGCTAATTGGAAGATACCCCAATTTACTCTGCCATGTTGATTTGGGTCAGCAAAATTACCAATGTTGCAATCTAAACACTTGTTTTTAGATGTTTTGGCAATCCATCAAAATTCTGGCCGTTTCGTATTGATATCTTCAGTGTGTACTCTACAGCTTAAATCAAAAATCATAAACTCTTATCTATATTGCTGATTTCAGTTTTAGACAATTTAACTTGATATTGTGTGTTACTGAACAGACCTATATTGGTGTATATCTATATAAATTTAAAGTGGCATTTTATCTTGAAACAACAATGTAACATAGATATTTTTCAGGGTATGTTCACTTGAAATTACCATTGCAGGAAGAATAAACGGATTATTCAAAAACAGGAGTTATTTGCATTTGATTATACAGTGATACTGAAACACAAGCCAAATATAAGCTGATCTTCTGCGTTTAGATACACTTAAGTAGACGTAGGTAGGCATGATCGTCACAATGAGTTGCAGGAAAAAATGCCTAAAATCAGATAAAACAAAACCTCAAATCATGATTTACAAATGTTCTCCTTTCAAATTGTGCTAGAGTTACACAGTCTTCAGTGTCAGAAGAATGAAGGAAAATCAAATCATCTTCTTGATGAAGAATTGTGTCATCTTATCATTGTCAATCAGATCAGCTGTATGACTTTCTCTGGTTATCAACCTTCCTTGAGGCTAGTCAAAAAATATACTCTTGTTTCTGGTAATGAGGGCTTTTATAGTGCAGTCGGTAAGAGCATTAGATTCTTGACATATTTCGTTGTTTGCTTGGTTATGGCGTACAAATGGCGATTGTGTGAAAGTTTGGTCACTTGGCCGATTATTTACACCATTAATTCCATTCCCTGGCAAATTTGTTGTCTGCCTGTGTCCAGCATAATTTTGCTATATGTTCCCCCTCGTGATCATAATTGACATCTATATAGAGAATAAGCAAATATTTAGAAATATATATCTCTTCAAAGGGGCAGATGCCATTTCGAGGGGTTGATTCAGGTTCGAATATACGTAAAAAGCCTTAATAAGTACTAGAAATGTACAAAAATCGTAAAATGTCTGCAAAAATACCTCAAACTAGGAATTTAACGTCTATTTCTATATAGGTCTTTTCTATATATGATAGAGTAAGTTAAAAAGATGAGTTGTCATTTTAACATTAAAAAGTGGATAATTCTGGACATATTCTGAAGGCTTAAATTGCGAAGGCAAGCGGTGAACACTATTACTCATTAGCTTAGCCAAAAATTTCCTGTTTCTGAGACTAAGGTATGATTTGTAGAACGAATGGCGCAGCTGTCCCTTTAATAGTTGCAATAATATAGTTAACTGTGGTATAATGATTGATTATGTAGATAATACCTGGACTATTTCAAGATACAAAACAGTTTGAAAGAAATTGAGGATGTGGGTGGAATCAATTTCTGTAAAAAGTGAAGTTTGTTTAAGTGGTAGGTGTTACCTGGAATTCCATTCACCTGTTCAGTAAAAACTCTCTGGCCGCCAATTCAAACTTGTTCGCAATTTTACAATATGGTTCCATTGGATTTTGTCTTTAAAATACATACTTTCTTTCATGAAAAAATGTTTTAAGCTGCATTTTTCAGAGGATAAATTGTATTTTCAAAGACATAAACAAAGTCTTTGATATTTATTTCATATATAATGGACCTACATCAGAAACCAAAATATGTTGGAAGTGGCATATAACACTACAGACTTATTTGTTATTACAATAGAAGTTGATTCCGTCAAAGTTAATTAGTGTTGGTTTTCACAACCTAACCATTGCCATCTCACCAGGTAGGAAAGAAATATTTACCAAGGCAGCAGGCAGTAGAAAGATTTAGGTCATCTTCCAGTGTAACATTCCAATGTAAAAAACATGCCAACAGATTTTCTTTCTAGACATTTGTTTTTATCATTCTAGAAAGATTTACCTGAGGTTTGAATATAGCCTATGTATACGTGTATATATGATTGTTCACAAATACCTCATCTTCACAATGTCAAGCTATTAATTTCATTTTATACCTTGACTACGATAGTCGTCATTCGCGTGTCACAGAAGTGTGTAAATGTGGCGATTTCACTGGATTATATGTTAGCGAACACAACCAAGCCTCAACAGAAAGTCTGTAAGCAATAAATCATAATGTTTACAGTCTTTTTGTAGTGGGATCTATTTGACTGTATTCATTGGCATACAATCCTATCAAATCGCCACATTCCATGATACAAGAAAGGTAGCTGTTACAGTCAAGGTATATGACCAACTTGGTAATAGCATGGCATTGTGAAGATGCAAATACCTATAAATAATTTTTATGCCTTCTTAGATAATGATGTTTATAACAATGATTCATGGTTTTGCAAAAAAAATATGCAAATTCTTCAGTTATATGCTTATTCGAATTTCCAGGTGTCAAATCAAGTAAAGCTTTCAGTTTATGCACATCTGGCATCAGTTTCCCAGAAATATATACTGAAAATGAATTACTAAATTCAAGTACCAGTAGATTCTGAATAATTTGATGGATCCTTCACACAAAGTTTTCATATATGTAGTTACAGAATGAGTCATTCATTTTAGAACTAATACCATATTACATATATGTCATATTTTTGTTCCAAAAAGTGATATTCGTAAATAAATGATCATAGAAATGCTTTCTCGCGGAGGAAAGTTTCAGATTTACCTTTTCAAAGTTTGAAATATCTAGAATAAAGTTTAGTTGGTATTGCATTCCTTCAAAGTTAAGGACATTGCAGTTTTGTTAAGATGTTATTATATATGTTAATATATTATTATCATGCTTACCTTAACAAATCCTGGATCTCTTTCAGGAGAAACAGATGATAATATTCTGTCCCTCCACACTGAAGGCATACTAGTAGCACCTCCAGAATCACCAAGTGGTGTAAAATCAGGCACTAACATGTTCCCTTTATTTCCATCCTCAGTAGTAATACTATGTTTTCTAAATACATCCGATTTATCCTTACTGCTAGATCCAAATTTCAGACGTTCACGTTGTAACACACTGGCTGAACTAGCACTACGTAATATAGGTTTCCGTGGAGTAGGAACACTGAGTAAATTGTCAGAAGGTTCTGGAACATTAGTAGGAGATTGGCACTTTGGGGAAGGAGGTGCAGAAGAAAAAACGGATGACCTCCCTTGGTTTGGAGGACTTAACGTATCACGTGAACGTCTTTTTCTACGTGTTCCAGATTTTTCATCTTCGTCTGATGTCCGTTCATTTGCACTTTCTTCTCCGATTATCAAATATTCTGATTTCAGCTCCTCTTCAGATCCATGGTAGTCCTCATCTAAACTATCCATACGATCCTCCTTAGATAACAGTGGAGCACTTTGAGATACACTGGATTCAGTCACAATTGGAAAATCACCCATGTGAACAATCTTATTGCGTCCTGGATCACTTTTGGATTTAGGCTTCACAGATTTCCCATTTTTCCGATCTTGTTTATCAGGATCACCTCCCTCTGCTGTGGAACCTTCAAAAGGGATTGATTCAACTTCATCACCATCACAAGGGGAAAGATGGCTATCAGCAAGAGAGGTCTGACTGTGTTTGCCCTCATCATCACTATCCCCTGAAGAGGATTTCAGAGCTGCAAACCCATTACTATCCATAGAACCTTCTTCCTGAGATGAGGTTTTTCTTACTGGTTGATGTGTTATAAATCGTACAGGAGAGACTTTTTGAGCATTGGGACTATCACGTCTAGGCTGGCGCAATCCTTCATGACCTTTTCCCTCATCATATTTACCACTACCATATAAAGTTTGCACACGATTTAAAGTCTTTAATGTGGTTATGCCTGTTCTGCGTTTCGAACAAGGTGCAGAAGCTGCTAATTTTAGAAATGGTGAATTTCGACCAATTGGATGATAAGTAAATGAACTAACAACTGGACTTGGATGTTCATCACTTACAATACCTTCATCTTCTGCTATAATCTTGGGAGTTTCATGTCCTGTCTGATTAGTTGGTTGATTATCTGTATCATTACCACTTTGAGTGTGTTCATCAGACTCTTCAATAATATCATAGGAGTCATCATCAACACTTCCTGCAGTTCCTTGTGAAATTTTCCTAGCAGCACCTACAGGTTCTCTTTCTGGTGCTGGAGAATCGCATGATTTTGATTCTGAATCTGTAGACCTTGTCATTTCATCCACATCATCTCCAGGTAATGAATTCTTTTCCACCTCCATCATGTGAGCTTTGACCTCCTCTGACACAGCAGCAGGGTTTTCCATCAGTGCCTTGTCATCAGGTCCATATTTACGTAACTTATTTGTTAACAGCTTCAGACTTCTACTTCTATTTCTGTTAATTCTGGGCTGTTCTTCACCCACAGTAACAGGTGAACCAGTTCTTGGTGTTGATGATGGTGTAGTGTCGGTTGATTGTGATTTCTGAGCAATTTGTGATCTGAGAGTCACTGGACGACTGTATGTTTTTACAAAATCTACCTTATTCAAATTAAGAATATCTTGCATAATAGCTTGTATTTGGCCATGACCTGGATCTGTCTTGTGTCGAGGACTAGTGGACCTTTTGTTGGTGGCAAATACTGGCAGTTTTGGTCTGGTGACCTTTGGAGAAAATGATCCAGACTTTGGTATGACTAGCTTTGGATGTTCCTCTTCAGCTGGTTTTGCCTCCATAGCAGTGAAAAGGGATAGGTATGACGTTGGGTAATGAAGATGAAAAATAACCAAACGATAAACACATTAATATCACAATTAGAGAATCACACAAAATCTTTGCACATTTAACATCTTCATTGTTTTAATGTATCTAATCAAATCCAGGAGTACACAAAAGGGTTGTGTGTCACCCACCACAGTAGATGATCTTCACACCATTATTATACATCTGCAAAATATGAACAAAGTAAAGAATAAACATAAAATATGAAAGAAGAAACGAATAAACAAACAATATGTTCATAACTTGCCAACTTAGTCACAGAATGAGGTTTTTCAGAAAAATATCTTTTGTGATATTAAAAGATTTTGAAATTTCACCACAAAGACAACATAAAATGGCTTGAGAATATTCTTGAACAAGAATCTAGATATCTTTTTTGACATCATTTTTACCATTAATCTAATAAATTTTTTATTCAATTGTGAGCAAACTATAAGCATTATCAAATACCCAATCTAACAAGTACAGCACACAAATATCTAAACAATAGTATTCCTTTAAACTCTGTTTTTATGCTTATCATGTTCAATTAAAGGGATTGTAAAGACGTTTTCTAGATTTTTCACATGTATTGGGGACACTGATCAATTTGCACCATTCAAATTTTCAATCAGATGTCTGTAGTTCATGCAATTCCAGTGAAACTAAGCATTTTATGACATCATTAGCGATGGACTTATGTTATGAAGTATATATTGCGATAAGTGACGTCATCAAAAATTAATTTTAGTGTAAATGCAGGAACCACAGATTGAAAATTAGAATGATGCAAATTGATGCTATCAGTGTCCCCAATACACATCAAAATTCCAAAAACCTCTTGACTTTCCTTTTAATGTATCAAACCATTTCAACAAAAATTATCGCAAACCATAATCTTACTGACTATTACCAACTATGAGTAGGCCTAGTAAGAACAACACAAGGTTTGTCAATGTCATTGAAAATAATAAGTCTAAGATGTATTCAATGCCTTAAAGCTCTGATTCCTATCTGGGCTAGAAATTATTCAAGATTAACCCTGGATTGACCACCTTGATTGTGAACACCCTACAGCCATTTACACATTAGTTAGTGCTTAACATATTTAATTCCCAGCTATATCTCAATAGTGTTGCCAAAATGTATAAGACAATCTGCATAGGTCAATATTGTATTTCACAACTAAAATATTATGTTATACTTTGGTTTTGTTTTTTTGTGATTTTTTAGAGAAAGGGCAGGAAGTAAAAATTGAAATGAAATGAAATGAATGGAGTTTTACGTCCTACTTTTCTGCACCATGTGGGCTAATGAAGACGGGCAACACCATGCAGGGTGCAATGAGGGAAATTTTTCCAGGACAGCGGCATTAGCCTGCTCTTTTTCGATTTCCAACTGTCGAGGGATCTTTAACATGCACAGCCTGTAGCACACGGGGCCTCGGTTTATTGTCCCATCCAAACGACTAGACGCTTTTTCCATGTCAGCCCCTCTTACCTGCATCACTGACAGGGGGAAACTGGGTTGGAAAATCCGAAGGTATTATCTCGACCTATGCCGGGATTGAAAAATGGACCTTCAGGTTAACGAGCAAGCATCTAACTCACTGAGCCACCATGGCTCCCAAGTACAAATTGAATTTTTTTGTAAGTTGAATGACCTGTTAGAAATGTACTTCAGAAAGCTATAATATATTGTAATATTTCCACCAAACTAAGTAATCAATGGTAAATAATGATAAAACCAGCTAATATTAAAGGAAAAGTTAAATTTTTGAAAATGATTTTATATTTTGGCATAGTCCAAGTTATATTCCATAAATCATGAATCTCCTAAATACCATCTTCACAATGTCAACCTATTATGAACTTCGTCTTATACCTTGACTGCAATAACCACCTTTCTTGTATCACAAAATACATGGATTTTTACATCAGCGCCTCAACAGCAAAGACTGTCAGCATTATGGCTTATTGTTTACAGACTTTCTGTTGAGACCTCTTATTCGTTATATTACCCAGCATACTGTAAAATCCAATCAAAACATTGCCTTACACACTTCATTGACAGTTGAGAGGTGACTATTGCAGTCAAGGTATACAGAAAAAGCTCATAATAGCTTAACATTGTGAAGATGCCTAAATATAAGACCAATGACTTTGAGTGCTGAACTATCTGTTACACATTTGCAAGCAAAATTTTAACAAACATATTCAATTTAAATACATTTTAAAGACAACTTACTGACCCTTCAAAAAAATCATTAGAATCAATGAGATTTACACAGGTATGATGCTATGCATTGAATTCCAATTTCATTAAAAATAAGTATTGTGGTGTTACAATTATAAACACCTGATGCCACTGTAATTGGGTTTGTCAACTTGGAATCGCTTTCACATAGCATATATTGTTTATTTGGTAAATTAATTTTTCATGAATACCCTTTTAGTAACTTTTACAATTGCAAGTTGTTAATCAAACTTAATAATAAATTTATTGGAAACTCAAAGTGAAAAGATAATTTTAGAAGAAACATGAATTTTTTTTGGCATGGTTTTTTTCTTCAATCTGAGAATGCTGCTTTAAAATGTATGATGATGAAGTACTAATGATAAAACCTGAGTTCACCTATTGTAATTATCACTCCACTATCTTTCAACCACTATCATCTCACATATTTTAACCCTACTTGTTTAGTTTTTCCACGCCAAGTTTACCTTTTCTTTAGATTTTTTTTTTTACCAATAGCTGAGGGTTATAACAGAGATTAGTTAGAATTGTAGTTGACTAGCACTACATTAAACGTTTGATCAGCCCAGCTTCATAACACTGTTCAAATTTAAATACCCCATTTCACACTTGCCACTCAATTAAATTTCCACTGTTTTTTGTACATTCTCACAATTATCCCACACCAGTTTCTGTGACAATTTTTTCAATCAAATTTTGTGGTCACATTTCCACCATCTTGATAAAATTTATCAGTGATCTCGCCTATGTTAAGAATTAGAGGTAAAAAAAACTATTTCTCATAAGAAATTCAATAGATAGATAGAGGCATCACTTTTTAAGTAGATTCATCATATGACAAAATTTCTTTTCATCAAATCTTTACTATTGAATGCTACTCAGAAAATTGTAATGTTTATAAAATGAAACTAGAAACCTGTATGTATTCAATCTGTAATTTTTTAACTGGCTTTAAAGGAATGTAATAGTCTTGTAAAGAGGATTTCTAAACTTTTTATGTGTTTTATGATGTCACTAGAGGGGAACTGCATATATATCAATAGTAGCTTGTGTAGCTCACTTCTAGTGACGTCATAAAACGTGTTAGTTTTACTGAATTGCAAGAACCACAGACGTCAGAATAATATTGGAATGGTGCAAATTGATGCTATCAGTGTCCCCGATACACATAAAAATTTAAGAAAACCTCTTTACAATCCCTTTAATACATGGTATGGTTCTTACATGAAAAACCATTTTGAATTATTCCTTCGACTTTATAAATCGAAATTTTAATAAGGGCTATAATGTTTCAACAAGGCCTTCAATTCACATTTAAAGCCATTTCTAAACCTTTGATGTGATTTGAAGGCTAACATTATAGCCTTTTTTCAAAGTTTGACTAATTAAGTCGAGGAAGAGCTTCAAAATGTTCTTGTGTGTTATTTCCATTTAAGAACCATACATAGTTTCGTATATATGTCATAATATTTACTTTACTAGTCAGAAGAGATAAGCTTCTATTATTCATGAAATTTTTCAAAATTAACGGCCAGATTGCTGCAATCGAGCAAAAAAGAAACACCAATTAAGATACATAACATACCATCAGTAATAACTGTACATGAGAAGGTCAACACCCTGGAAGAGACAAAGGTCTAAATTGGCAAAGGTTTTATAGGAGAACCAGGGATCAGGTTTTAATTATGAAAGATAGTTAAATTTGAGCTCTATCAGTGGTTAAGTATATATTTAGAATGGATACATCCCTTTAAATTTTCAATCAAGAGGCCTTTCCATTTTTCTTTGTAATATACATAATTGCTAATTTAGCAAAATCTTAAAGGTACAAATGCAAAGTTATTGCTTATCTGAATGAATTGCACATTACCATGCACACAGATATAAATTAATGCAAAGTTATCATAACATAGTTGCCATTTTTAATATTGAAAATGATCAAAATATATAAATCATTTCAATTATAAATTAATGAAAAATGGGACCATCATTCCAATATAAGAGATTCCATCCAGAAAGTTGATAACTGCTGATTATTTTCAACATTAATAATGACCAATTATGACAAATTTGCATTGATTTAGAAATCATCCAGAAACTTGGGGAATGAATATATGAGAAACCCCCTTGACCTTCCATATTGCAACAGAATCGGTGTAAATAGTAAGAAGGTATTGATTATAAATGAGTATAAATTGGCACCCATTCCAAAATAAACATGTGTAGGTGGTTTTTGGAATGTTGATTTTTATCTTTTAGGTAAATAATATAATTATTAATGTTTGTGCTATGCTAAAAGCATTAATAAAACCACTCAATATAATATATACATCCATTTAAAGGCACACTTTCGATATCCATTTGACCATACCTAACATCAGTCTCAGAGGCGCAGAATTTTTAGCTAAGCTAAGATAATCAGTAAAAGCATAGCTTAGCTGTGATATGCTAAAAATAGAACCCATGCATGACTTGAGTAGGACAATTGGTAGGACAAACCACTCTTACAACTTTGAAAGTTGTGCATCATGTGATACGGAAACCACCTTTATGACATCATGGCAAATCTCTCCTATTTACATCGAAATTCAAACTTCCATAATTATGTGTGTACAAAATAATTTGTGTTCGATTGTAAACATGACAACTCTGTCATATATAGAAAAGACATATATACATGGAAAAGAAATAGAAAGTATATTTAAAGGGATTATGTGAT